CAAAAAGAGTTCATTATGCTTTTTGTGTGGCAAATACATGCAAATATTAGAAGAGTGACACACTCTCTCTCTGAAAGTTATTATCATTTCTTTGTTTCAGACTCCCTAGCTCAAATTATAGCTTAAGCCCTTCCCCCACCCCTGAACCTGGGTATCTACCTTTCCAGGAACCTTATTCTGAAAAGAAGGTGGCTAACTAATTGCAGATTTACGGAGCTCTCTGATTAAAAGTTCGATTTTGTGCTCAGTCTTTTTGAGAAAGAAGGCAAACAGGAAAAGGCGAAAGCTGCTGGAAGGGGAGTGGTTTTGCTGAAACTCCCTACTGCGGGTAACTCCCTACCGCTAGAGAAGGGGGAATTGTCCAAGGTGCTGATTCCTCGAGAAGCCATTTCCCCTACAAGCTGCCTGGGGCTCTAAACCTGGCCTCCCTGGCATCTCGGGCCAGTAGGAACTCTACGGATCTCCTCCCCCAACTCACTGCAGCAGCATTGTTCGAGGGATGCCCAGGTGCTCTGGGTGTGCGTCTCTGCTCTCCATACCCGCAGCTACACCCAGCTACCCTGGATGTTTCTAAGGCAAAGGCTGGCACGCACAGGACGCTGATCAGTTACCCGGCCCTGTGGTCCCCTGGGGACCGCAAACTGTTCCTCAATCCGGGAGAAAATAGGTGCGCTGTTTACTGGTAGGCTCTTCACTTGAGAGCAGGAGCTCCCACGAACGCACACTCTCATGCACACTCACACACACTCACATAATTCACACACTCATTGACACAGATCCTTTATACATTTCATACACATTAACAATCACACATTCATATACACACTCCCGTTCATACGCAATCTCACGTTTCCACATCACTCTTAGATTCACACACGCTTGGACACTTCAGCACACCCAGTCACACACACAGCCCATCCGATGATGAGGCCTCGGGCTATCATGTGAGTGCTCTGAGCTGCGTTTTTACACCGTGGACCTGCGTGTTGGATGGTTTCAGGAAAGCCCCTCCACTCCTGACCCGGATCCGAGATGAAGTCCCTCAGAAGCCTGGAGGCGCCATGAGGGGCGCCACCCGGGTCCCAGCGGGACCACGAGGACATAAATAATAAATGAAAGAGCCCAGGCAGACGGAGTTGGGGAAGCTCGGCACTAAATCACTCCCCAAATCACAGCCGCGTCGTGCTCCATCCAATAGCTCTAAGCCATTTGTGGGGTTGAGGGTTGGAATCAATTTTTTTCTGTTCTCGCAGGTGCAATATGAATCAATTATATTAATTAAGATTATGCCGCAAGCCCAGGAGATTTGGAGAGGACGGGTTTTTCGCTGGGGGCGACGGCGAGGCATTTTAATAGCTTCTCTTTTGCTCCGGGCTCTCCCCAGCCAACTGCCTGGCGAAGCCAGGCGTCTCCAGCCTCTGTCCAGGGCTCCCAGTGGCCTCGCTGGAGGCGGAGGCGCAAACGCGGCACAGGGCCGAGAC